AAAATTTTTGGTTCGATCCCCGTTGCTTAGAGCCGTATTACGTGGCTACAATTGGACGTGCTTCTATCAAACGGAACTTTGTGCATCATGACGTGAGACCTGTTATGCACATATTCTTATGGCTCATGTGCACGTTTCATTCGAAGCTAAATGCAGGTTTTTCGTCACTGTTTTCAGGCGGCCGGCATAGCTTAGTAGGTAAGGTCTTCGTTCAGTGTTCGGGAGGTCCCAGGTTCAAACTCCGGAGCAGGCTAAAAATTCCAGATCAAAATTCCAACGAAAGTGTCTAACATTGTCACGTGGACGCCATTTTTCGCAGTTTTTGAAATAATCCCCGTACATAACCCATTCTGGGTTTTTTTTTTTTTTTCACGGCCCCACAAGGCTAGGTGACATCACTTACACGTAGTTTTGGGTAACATCACCTATAATTTTAGGTGACATCGCCTGTTCCAAAAATCGCCTCACCTAAGTTGGTGAGGCAATGTCACCTATATTTTAGTGTATTTTCCGAAGGAAATACACTATTGCATTCTCCCATGATGTCGGACCCAGACCTGAGACATTGTGAAGAGCACCAATCACGGGTCGTAAATCACGAAAATATATGCTATTCAAATTCATGTGTGTATATATAGTTAGTTAGTTATTATAATTTTGAGACATTCAGCGACTCAGGCTATTAACGTCTTTACAGGTAATTTTGAAAATAGGAGTATAAACGAAAATTTAGATTTTTAAATTAAGAGAGGTGAAGAGTTTCAGAATTTTGGTGGCAATATTAGGTTCATCGCATGTAAGAGGGTTTGTATTTCTGTTGATTGTAGGGGAGTAGATCTGTGATTGGAGATGTCGGAGGGAAGAGCAGTCCATAAGTATGTGTTTGATGGTTAGAGGTGATGAGAGTCTGATGTATATATATATGTATGTATGTATGTAGTTAGTTAGTTAGTTATTATAATTTTGAGACATTCAGCGACTTAGGCTATTAACGTCTTTACAGGTAATTTTGAAAATATATAGGAGTATAAACGAAAATTTAGATTATTAAATTAAGAGAGGTGAAGAGTTTCAGAATTTTGGTGGCAATATTAGGTTCATCGCATGTAAGAGGGTTTGTATTTCTGTTGATTGTAGGGGAGTAGATCTGTGATTGGAGATGTCGGAGGGAAG